TGCACCCTTTTGTTCTCTCGTACTCTACTCCTCTGTCTGCTTAATTACAAAGTATTTGCTACCCTCTTATACTAATTACTCTTATCTTGAAGAGGAAATGTAGGTAAGATTGCTAAATGTTCGGCTGTCAAATTAATTAAAAATTTTGTGTGTATCAAATTATTTAGTAATAACATAGTCAATTTATGCCTCTGAGGTTTTACGAACACTACTATTGTGTTTGGTGAAGCACAGCTCATCTAAAATAGCAATACATATTCCTGTATAGATTTATATATTTAGCACCTACCCAGTGGCTCTATGGAAGAAAGGCCCGGTGACCTGCTTCTGTAAACATTAGAGCCAAGAAAACCCTATGGAGCAGTTTTACTCTGTAACATATGGTGTCACCATGAGCTGGAATTGACTTGATGGCAAGGGTTTTTGTCTGGTCTTATTCAGGGGACACTAATGATAATATAAAATGGATGAATCCAAGTAACGAATTTATCATAGCTTATCATGTATATAAACTTACCTACAATGTCATCAATAAGCATTTTTTGATAAATCAGTGCTGATGCTATGGTCATTAAAGTCATTCATTCATTCATTCATCAAGCATGAGCTGAATGCCTGCTCTACCTTGAGCGCTGATCTAGGTGCTGGGGATACAGCAGTAATGAAAACAAATGAAACTTACATGTTAGGGAAAGAAAAATAGTGAGCAAATACATACATAAAAATTTCTCTATTTTTATTTAGTGATGGTTTTTTTCTCTGCAGATTTAACTTAGATCCAGAGTGCAAATGCACTGATGACAGACTCTGGGAAGCTTTAGAAATTGCTCAGCTGAAGAATATGGTCAAATCACTACCGGGAGGTCTAGGTAATATTTTATTGAAAATATGATTATTTTTTACATGTGCAGTTAATCTTGTCAATCTGTATTTACATTTTATGCTAGGATCATGTACTTCTAGGATTAAATCCCCTTATATTTAAAATAATCCTCTAAAAGTCATTAGGGCATTTCAGTAGTTAATGCTTTTGCCTGTGGTGAAGAGGATGAACCTTGCAACGAACTCTGTTCTGTGTGGGAATTCCAAAATATTACAATTGGTACATTTATCCTTTTGGTCTCCTCACCATTGCTTGTTACAGGTCATTTTAATCAGAATACTTCATATTGTTCATACCTTCTCTCGTGACTTGCATGATCTCTCACCCTCTGTAAGTACATAAGCAGAGGATTGTAAGGTTGTTAGGTTCAAAGAGTACTTGGAACTGTGTAGGAGCAGAAACTTCTCCATCTTGGCAGCCATCTTGTTCACAGACAGGAGGCATATTCTTTTCATTTGTATAGTATGATGTTCATCTTGTTTGAAGACGTTATTTTCTATTACCTTGCTAGAGCATAAGTTCTGGCTGTTTGTGTAATGGATTAAACATGTACTCAAGCAATCATTGACATAAATTCAATCCCAGAAGCAGTACGATTTCTGACAAATAAATGATGATGGAATGAAAGAATGACAACATGAACACAGTGAAAGAACCGAGTTTGTGATACAGTCCTTAATTCATAAAAATGAACATCTATAGTTTTGGACTCATTTCCTTAAAATCTGACTTTATGTAAAAAAGAAATATGAAAGGTAATAGTTTGTTGATATTCTAATTTTAATACACAATATGTAGTTGCTAAATTGGTAGTGTTGTTTGGCATCTAGTTAAAAAAATCAACCTAAAATAAACTGTGTTTATTATTTTGGAAGGGGGGACCTACTGAAAACAATACCATTTATTATTTTAATTAAGTCCCATGGAAAAGGCTTTCCCCATACAAAAACTGAGAGAGCACGTCTTTAAGGATTATTTCATTGGCCTTGCCAGTGTCACATTGTGGGAGTAATTCCAGAAGTCTGGGTGAACTTTCTCCTACTTTTTGATGTCTCTCTGGAAAGCCCAGCAAGACTACTCGAGAAATTGTTAGATGCTCTTAGTTCTTTTTCCCTTGCCCTAAGAGACCCCCATTAATAGTTGGAAAGACAGTCAGTTGTATCTTTGTAGTCTTCCTCATCACTAACATGAGAACTGTGCACCTGTTTTGAATTGTACACATAGTGTTTGGGTTATAGTACAGTGTAAACAAGAGTGGATGTTATTTATGCTGTGTGACTGATTGAACATTGTGTGTGCTCATCATCTTAATAGAGATCACATTGATTGCTTGATGAATATCTGGTTCAGGCTAACTTTAGTGATGAACATTCATTATCCCCAGCATCCGCCTTATGTATTATGTGAGTAAATGCATAGCCTACAAAGATGAGAAATTGTAAGAAATGATTTGATGCAGTGAGAATACAAACAATGGAAATTTCCCCCAGGACTCTACTAAAAAATGCTTGAATTCTAATAAAAAA